AGCAAGCCGATGGGAAGGCAAGCAAAAACGGCCAATTATCGTTTGGGCAAGGTCCTTAGGGGACAGCCATGACGAGCTGAAAACCAAAGAGGTCAGTACGAGGATTTAGGCGCACGATAAATAGGCGTGGCTCAAATTCCCAAGACAAACTAATTTGGTTAGCCTAATAACCAAAGCTAAGCGAAGTCCGCAACTGGTAGTGTCTTTCTCGATGCCAAAACAAATAGGCGACGCAAAATAGCTAGCAGCTAAGAGCAACGCAGTGGGTGTATAGACAGCGGAAAGCTAACAGCTGGTTGCGTTTGGCTGTTTATCTACTGAAAACCCATAGTTACCAACACACTATGGTATTGTATTGAAGCATGTATGGGAAAGACGCAGATGACGGGTAAACAAATCTGAAGACATTATGATAGCTCAAGTAAGAACTACTTTTTGAAAGCAGCATAATAACTAGAGGGGAGATGTGGCAAGATGCTTGCTCAAATGCCGATAAGTAAAAAGTTACTATGGGCAGGGGGACATTACCGACAAAGACAGGGATGCCTGGAAGGAAAAGAGTGACTTCCCCAACCGATCAGTGGACGCCTACCCACAAATGTGAATATTCCTGGTCGAAACCGGCAAGACAACGAGCCCGTGGCCCAATGGTTAGACGTTTGGAATTCTAAGGGTTTGGGGTTCAGACACCAGGTGCCTTAGTATCCGGGATTGGCTATGGCTAGCTGATGACGGCCAATAAACTAGAAATAGCAATTCCAGTCTCCCTTGTCTATGTCTACAACGTGCTTCTATTAGCCATAGTGCGGCTGCTGGCGGGGCTTTAGAATGAGCCCTAAGCCAGAACGGGATGATTTAGTCTCGTTACCAATTGGTGAAAGTGTAGTCACAAATGTAAACAGTTTGCAATTTTTCAACCCTTTTTGCACTGTCCTTACTGATGCTTAAGAGATATCCATGACTTTGAGATACGAAACTGTGATTTATGTACTACGTAAACATCTTGAATAAATTAAGGCGGAGGTATTATTGGTAGCGCATATTATATACTCTTAACCCCAGGCTTGTGTCTTACGGATAGGGTAAGGGCTAGGGTTAAAGTTATGTATAACAAAATAAGTAGGTAGTTATACATAGTAACCTTTTTTCATCATTCCCGCACACTCAATAGAGCCATGGGCCTTCATCCCACCTACCAAGCGCTCCGCATAGGGCTAACATCTGCTCAGAACGCAGCAATAGGTCGGGCGAAGAGAGATAAGCAGGGCCGACAGCCGGCAGCCGCGAGCAAAGAGGGTG